TAACCAGTGGAACAACCTGCCTCCAGAAGCTGTGAATGCTCCAACACTGGAGGTTTTTAAGAAGAGGCTAGACAGCCATTTGTCTGAAATGGTATAGGGTTTCCTGCCTGAGCAGGGGGTTGGACTAGATGACCTCCAAGGTCCCTTCCAACTTTACTATTATTAAAACTTTATATGGCTTTGTTAATATTCAGCAATTAAGCAGAATGTTTTAGCATCCTCTAATCTTAATTGTATCGTGAATTACTTACTTTCAGGAGCTCTGTCCAATGTGTACCACAGCTTAAACTGGGCTGAGTGTTGAGCTTGCACTTCCTCAAGTTCCGAGCGCAGTAGAATATCACTTTCGGTCTGTCCCAGAAACACAGTCATTGTTGTTTTACTTCACAAATTCACTATCGAACAACTTAGAATATTGATCCCCTCTTAATCCCATAAAAAAAGAAAGAAAAGAAATCATGAACCGAAAGCTAATGTGAAAGACCCCGGAATCAAAATGTAAACCATCAAGAGGGCTTAGCAAAAAAGAAAAGTGAATTATTAGCAGCAAATCTTTTGAGTCTGCTCCAAGTCCCGTTAAATGTGCATAAAAATGGTCAGAGGTAACACCGTGTCAACGTTCAGGGTAATTACATTTCGTTTAAAAAGCATTTGTTCTGAGCTGTTAATCAACATGCCAAAGTGTTTCACTCAGTTCTAAAATGAATCTGTTTCATTAGGGCGTTCTGTCTAAAACACTTCAGACCATTTCCGATTCAGAGGATTTATCAAACCACTTTGGGAGAACAACTTAATTTGAGAAGACCTTTGGTTTGTTGTAGAGGGAAATTGATTTGCTGTTCTTGCATTAACACATTTTGCACTAGAACAGTGGTTCTCAACCTTTTTAATGCCGCGACCCCCAACCGGTCGTAAGCCGAGGACTAAACCGGTCGTAAGCCGAGGACTAAACCGGTCGTAAGCCGAGGACTACCCAACCGGTCTCAAGTCGAGGACTTTCCCTGCCCGGAAGCACCGCGCATGCGTGGTTCCGCCCCCTGCGCCGGCCGAGGCGTAGCTGGCAAGCGGCAGAGACGGAGCAGGCCGACCACCAGCTGGCCCAGCTCAAGGGAGGTAAGGCACCCGCCGGAAAAGGGGGAAAAAAATGGCGGACAGCCTTGCTTGGCGACCCCCGTGAAATGGTTGATCGACCCCAAATGGGGTCGTGACCCATAGGTTGAGAACCGCTGCACTAGAAGCAGCTAATTTAAGCTTTTTCTCATTTCCTCAAACAAAAAAAAATATATTAAAGGATCCAGAATAGAAGTCGGAATATTATAACTGCTGCTGAGATAGGATTCTCCAGAGGAATCTGTCTCTTACTTGGAGCAATTGGAAAAAAAATAAGCCAGGCTACAATTTCATGTTACGCTTCTCTGGAAATAGAATCCAATGAAAATAGTGGAATACTGTAAACATCTTGAGTAAATCTGCACAAGACTTCAATATTGCTAGCATGAAATATCGGCAGCCTATTTTATTTATTCTTCACAATCTATTGCCGTTGATCCAATATGCCAGTGTTTCTCAACCTTGAGAATTTTAAGGCATGTGGACTTCAACTCCCAGAATTCCACAGCCAGCAATGCTGGCTGTGGAATTCTGGGAGTTGAAGTCCACATGCCTTAAAATTGTCAAGGTTGAGAAACACTGCAATATGCTGTTTGCTCCTTAGTAAGAGAGCAAAGGACATCATCCTACCTGGTTAGCAAAGAGCAAATAGCAAACTGTGGGATCCTCCTTGTCCTTTACAATCGCTCGGATGAGCTGCAACATGGGAGTAATTCCTTCAGAGGAGAGAGAGAGGGAGGGAGAGGGAGAGAGAGAGTCAAATCAAATGAATCCTTGTAGAAGATGGATCTGTAGACGAGCAGGCAGAGTCTGGGGTCGGAGTCAAGAGAGTAATCAGCCTAGAGCCATTATGTTGCCACAAGTGGTCTAAATCAGGGCTTTTCAACCTTTTCACCCATTGTACCACTTTTAGGATAGGGCAACATCCGAGTACCACCAGTCGCCTAGCAAGGTGTCAAAAACATGATGACCAAAAAAAAAAAAAAAAAGTGATAAAGTACAGGTAGTCCTGGACTTACAACAGTTCGCTTAGTGACTGTTCGAAGTTACAATGGCACTGAAAAAAGTGCCCCCAAGCCACAGCCGAGCAAGACACCTGCCTGCCTGCCCAGCCGCGCTCTTCCTCCTTTCCGAGGTTTTCATTGTTGTGAGAATTTCTGTTGAGGATTGGCAGTGGGGGTGGGGTGGGGGGTGTTTGGTTTTTATTCCCTCCCGTCTGCTGGGTGGTTGCAGCAGGTTTTGGTCACTTCACATGACCCTGGGACACTGTGACCGTCATAAATATGAATCAGTTGCCAAGCATCTGAATGTAAATCACAAGACCCTGGAGAGGCTGCAACATTCCAGCTGATCGGCGCTTCTTCTGGGCTCAGCAGAAGCGCCAGGATCAGTGCCGAGCTCCAGCTGGAGCCTGGCACTGATCCTGGCGCTTCCGCTGAGCCCTGACAGCCCTGCAGCTCCAGCCGTCTCTCGCTCAGGCTTGTGTGGTGTTGCCACTGGTTCAGCTCATTCCCCTCCCCCGCTACTTTTCTAGGATGGCCGCGTACCACCTGCCAGATACCAATGTACCACAAGTGGTACCCGTACCACTGGTTGAAAAGCCCTGGTCTAAATCTTGAATTCCATTGACTCTTATGTAGCACCAATTTAGTGCTGAATATTAATTGACTAGATTCGTGTGAGCAAGCACGTTCAATAGATCATCTCAACTGGACTGCGGTCTCAATTCTTTGCACCTGACACATCAAGCTGAATACCCAAGGCAGGAAAGCACATTTCGGAATACCTGTTCCACCCGCAATCAACCCGACGTATTTCACTTGCTTCAGAACGGGTTCGGATTTCTTGTCTGGACGAATCGCAAACACACCTGGCGGAAAAGGTTAAGCAGGTGAGCAAGTGGATGGGTGGCATTGCCAAATGTCTCAAATCCAAGATATGTGTTTGAAATGTCTATGGGGATTCTCAGTTATCCGGGTCATGGTTGTTGCAAAGGTGCTTTTTCAAGAGGCAACTGGGGTTTCTTTGTTTTTCCCTTGAAGATGTTTCGTTTCTCATCCAAGAAGCTTCTTCAGTTCTGACTGGATGGTGGGGAATGGAAGGATTTATACTCTTTGCAGACAGCTGGTCATTTGCATTCTTTTAAAGAGTCGTTGAGGCCACTTGGAGGCTTGTCTGTGTCCTCAGGGTCACCTGAGTGGTGCAAATGGGTGTGGAGCCTTCTTGGAACTGCTGAAAAGAACTGCAGAAGTGCAGTTCCAAAGAAGGCTCCACTCAGGTGACGCTGAGGACACAGACAAGCCTCCAAGTGGCCTCAACAACTCTCCAAAAGAATGCAAATGACCAGCTGTCTGCAAGGAGTATAAATCCTTCCATTCCCCCACCATCCCGTCAGAGCTGAAGAAGCTTCTTGGAGGAGAAGCGAAACATCTTCAAAGAAAAACAAGAAGGTCAAGCTATTTCTTCAAAAAAGCACCTTTGGGACATGTGCTTGGAATGCACGTGGATGTCAAATCTGACATTTTTTGTCCACTCCTAATCATAATGATGAATACCACTTTACAAGGCCTTGGTAAGGCCACACTTGGAATACTGCATCCAGTTTTGGTCACCACGATGTAAAAAAGATGTTGAGACTCTAGAAAGAGTACAGAGAAGAGCAACAAAGATGATCAGGGGACTGGAGGCTAAAGCATATAAGGAACGGCTGCTGGAATTGGGTATGTCTAGTTTAATGAAGAGAAGGACGAGGGGGGACATGATAGCAGTGTTCCAATATCTCAGGGGCTGCCACAAAAAAGAGGGAATCAAGCTATTTTCCAAGGCACCTGAAGGCAGGACAAGAAGCAACGGATGGAAACTAACCAAGGAGAGAAGCAACCTAGAACTAAGGAGAAACTTCCTGATAGTTAGAACAATTAACCAGTGGAACAATCTGCCTCCAGAAGTGGTGAATGCTCCAACACTGGAAGTTTTTAAGAAGAGACTGGACAGCCATTTGTCTGAAATGGGATAGGGTTTCCTGCCTGGGCAGGGGGTTGGACTAGATGACCTCCAAGGTCCCTTCCAACTTTATTATTATTATTAACCCACAATGGGGGGCGGGGGAGGGGAGGAGTCAGGATATAATCTGTTTTGCTCCATTCAAAGTCACGACGGACCTAACTTGGGAGGCTTCAAAATTATGCCAGTTGGGCCCTCCCCTGCAGTCACATGACCAAACTTGGGTGCTCAGCAACTGGGCTGTATTTACCACCGCGGTCACCCAATTGTGTTTTACAGCAGCTTCGACAAAAGCTGGCATTGACTTCAGTTTTGGGCAGACCACTCCCATGAGTGGACCGTTGCTTCAGTCAACAACCACTATGGCTCCTTTATAACCATGGTTGCTGCCACATTCACTTACAATGGTGTGGGCTGCATGATGGCTGGGATGGGCAGGCTCCATCAGAGCCATCAGTCAAGGACTACTTGTAAGATAAATCAGAGATAAAGGTGACCTTCTCCAACTTGACATTCAGCTGCTACGGCCTCACCTTTTCCCTCGTAAACAAGCAATCCACTGGGTCCCCGAAAATCAATGGTGTCCCCCATCTTTAGATTCTCCAGGTACTGAGACATTTTCCCTCCTTCAGGAAATTTGGGGTGAACCCCTTTGAAATAGATCTATAGAGGAGAAAATACCTTTAAAACTGAATGGACGGATGGGAAATATGAACCCATTCAGATGCTCAAGACAGGTGGACCATACACCATACATGTTTAAAAGAAGTCCGTAGGTTAGTAACCATATAACACCAGGAATATTTCTATCCTGGAACATTTTCACAACTGATTCCTCTGAAGGTCTATTATCTCAGAACCATTATCTCTATAAGTAGATTGGTCAGCAATATACATATTGCTGACAAAGAATTAAAGGGAGACTAGTATAGCTGTTTCAAGCTATTTAGCTCTTATCAGCTAGCCATACCCTTCTGAGATTTGAACCCAGGCTGCTTGCACGCTAGGCAGCTGTATTAACCTCTAGGCCATGGGTTCTCCTCGATTTTTGTCAGCTGTACCAGGGAGGAGAGATTAAGTGTTTTTCCAGTGAAACCGGTCTAACAGAGCACCTGGTCTAGCCAAATATGGGACGGATCAATCTACTATTGCTTTCGCCTTTCAGCCCCAATCTAGGAGCTTTTACAGGCAGATGCTACTGCGACAAACTATTTCTGTGTTAAATTTAGATTTTTGCTGACAAAGAATTAAAGGGAGACTAGTATAGCTATTTCGAGCTATTTAGCTCTTATCAGCTAGCCATACCCTTCTGAGATTCAAACCCGGGCCGCTTGCACGTTAGGCAGCTGTATTAACCTCTAGGCCACGGGTTCTCCTCGCTTAATCTCTCCTCCCTGGTTCAGCTGACAAAAAGCGATATAAAGCTGGAAAAACTGATGGAACTAACAGAGATGGCTAAATTAACTGCTTCAATCAAAGAAAAAACAACATATCAACTTTGTTTCTACCTGGAAACCACTTCTGGATTTTGTGCTTGAGATTGAAAAACAACGAAACCTTAACTTTGGTTTTTGCTGATAAGTTTGTTATAGAAATGGCTGGTACATATTAAGTATATAAAACTAAAAAGTTGAGGCTGTAGTGTTACTAAGTTATTCTACTGCACTAAGAAGAGTCAGGAATCAATACTTTTCTTTGTTTTTTGTTCCATGTTCCTCTACATTTCTTTCTCTTCCCTGTTCCCTCCCCCATTTTCCCACTATTTTAGCTTTCCTTTGTGTTTTTTTTTGATAAGCTTAATAAAATGATTAACAACAAAGCTTTTACCTTCACAACAAGGTCCACGTATCCTTTGTCATCATCGCTGCTCACGGGCGTATAAGGTCTGATCACCAGATTCCCATCGATCCTGGCCGAGAGGTAAATGTGCTGCCCTAAAACGAGACAGATTATCATTCAGTCTCCTTAGCTTACTTTGCCTCGCTATTTATGGAACTTAGTTTACATTTGATGACACAAAAATAAATAAGAATATTCGGAACTGCCTATCTATACTCAGACGTTACCTTAACAGCTCTTAGGTCCTTGGTTAGGACTTGAACTGTTAGGTTTTTACCAGTCCCACACGGTGAATCGAATTGATGATGATGATTGTTGTTGTTGTTATTAGTATTATTATTATTATTATTATTATTTAGACATGAACCTCAGTCAACTGAACATTCAAATTGGCTGGCGCTGATGGTTGACACGGGTTGCTGCCAGCATCCTAGGTGTCAACCAGGTATCTCCTTAAAATGTAAGATGTTCCGAGTTGCGCAGTTTTTTTGTAGCATTGCTGGAGTTATTGCAGGAAGCTGCAGTTTCTTGATGTATTTTGCAAAGTTTTTGGACATAGTTCTCGGTGCCCCGATGACAATGGGTATCACTGTTACATGTTTCATCATCATCATCATCATCATCATCATCATCATCATCATCATCATCATCATCATTATTTCTTAGGCCCTTGGTTAGGACATGAACTGTTAGGTTTTTACCAGTCCCAGACGGTGAACCAAACTGAAAATTAATATTTTTATTTTATTATTATTATTATTATTATTATTATTATTATTATTATTATTATTAGAGCAGCAGCAGCAGCAGCAGCAGTTCTTAGGTCCTTGGTTAGGACTTGAACTGTTAGATTTTTACCAGTCCAGACAGTGAATCAAATTGAAATATTATTATTATTATTATTATTATTATTATTATTATTATTGCAGCAGCAGCAGCAGCAGCAGCAGCAGCAGCAGCAGCAGCTCTTTAGATCCTTAATTAGGACTTTAACTGTTAGGTTTTTACCAGTGCCAGATTGTGAATCAAATTGAAGATTAATAATAATAATGACAATAATAACAGCAGCAGCAGCTCTTAGGTCCTTGGTTAAGACTTGGTTAAAACTGTTAGGTTTTTACCAGTCCCAGATTATGAATCAAATTTTATTATTATTATTATTATTATTATTGATGATGATGATGATGATGATGATGATGATGATGTACTAGTAGTAGTAGTGGTCAAGGACTACCTGTACTGTAGTACAACTGGAGAGATTTACAAGGAGAAACAACAGAATAACCTATATAACATTTATCCCAGGTGCCCCGGGCAGCTCTGTGGATGTTAATGGCGCCCTTTGTGATTCCCACCCTGGGCCCTGGGAATGAAGGCGATTATTCTTCCTCCGATTGGCAGGTCCTTCTGCCTTGAAAGAGACGATGCTATCTTGTGAGAGGGGGGAGGAGAGAGAGAGAGAGAGAGAGAGAGAGAGAGAGAGAGAGCGCCACAGAAATCCTCGGGATCAGAAAAAAAAGCCTCTTTCACAGTCTGATGCAACAGGGATGAAGAATCCCGCTCTTCTCCTTTTGTAAGTCTTGCTCTGGATTAGAAGGCTGAATTTCGTGTAGCAAAGCATGAGAAAAAAACAACAACAAACCCTTAAGATCATCTCTGTTTTCACGTACTCTGGGACCCGTGGGTCTTACGCGGGAAACAATTCAATTCAGTGGCTGGAAGTCTTGTATCCCCCTTTCCCCCCCACCCTCAATTAAACTGGCTTAACAAAAAACCCCAAAAACACTGAGATCCTTTCTTTAGACAAGGATCACTGCCAGCTTTCGACAGAGCCCCCCCCCTAGCTGTTAGCAAGAGATAACAGCTGTTAGCTGTTATCTATTCAGAAAGCAAAACCAGAGTTGGCCTGGTTTTATATTTTTTTTGGGGGGGGGGGAAAGAATGGGGGAACAGCTAAAACTATTGTCAGGTAAATAAAAACCCATCAAAGATTGAGCACGAAGCCTTAAAAAAGAGAATTGGAATGGTTTGCATCGCTATTTACCTTCTGGGTAAATCCCTAGCAAGTGTTACACATACCGACTGCTATGGGTTCTTTTAAGGCAGTGGTTCTCAACCTTTTTAATGCCGCGACCCCCAACCGGTCGTAAGTTGAGGACTAAACCGGTCGTAAGTCGAGGACTAAACCGGTCGTAAGTCGAGGACTACCCAACCGGTCGTAAGTTGAGGACTTTCCCTGACCGGGAGTGCCGCGCATGCGTGGTTCCGCCCCCTGCGCCGGCCGAGGCGTAGCTGGCAAGCGGCAGAGACGGAGCAGGCCGACCACCAGCTGGCCCAGCCCAAGGGAGGTAAGGCACCCGCCGGAAAAGGGGGAAAAAAATGGCGGACAAAAAAAATGGCGGACAGCCTTGCTTGGCGACCCCCGTGAAATGGTCGATCGACCCCAAATGGGGTCGCGACCCATAGGTTGAGAACCGCTGTTTTAAGGAGAGATGCAGCACAACACACTTTTTTTTAATTCTTCCTATCCTCGAAGTTTACAGTACTCCCATGCTCGCAAGGCACAACACAGGCACAACACCTGCTTCCCTGCGCAATACGCCTCTGGCACGGGGGAGAGGAGCAGCTGGCTACAATTACGGATGCCTCTCTCGGCAACTAGGAGAAGAAAGGAAGGGCAAACAAAAACACGGAAGCCATGGTTGCCAATTCGCCTGACACCTATTCCAGGCCTTTCTCCTGGCCACACATCGTAAACAATCACAACCGTGTTCTGTTTTTTTTGGTGTTTTTTTTTGCCCGAGGTGCCACAAGGGGAGTTGGGTGGCACCAGGAGAAGTCAACAACCAAATATTCTTCGGGAAGGTCCAAAGAAGAATATCAAGGTTGGAATGGCTTATTATGGCAATTCGCGGATCAGGATTAAGCTAGCAGGCTGTCTCCTACTTAGCCACACCGTTTTATTTGCTCAGTTGTGTTTAGCTTCGGGTTTGGGGGTTCAGAGGTCACGGATGAAGTCTCCGATTCATTTGGAGAGCGGGTCCAGATCTGTTTAGATTTAGGCAGAATTTTTCCAATGTCAGTACACTCTTCCTTCTAGCTAACAGAGCTTTTCTTCAAAGGAATAAAAATCAGCCTTTCAATAAATTAGGAAGGAGGAAGGAAGGGGAGGAGGAGGAGAAAGGAGAAAGAAGAAGGAAGGGAGGAGGAAGGAAGGAAGGGGGGG